AAAAAAAAAAAAAAAAAGTCAAATCATTAGATGGTTATTTTAGATCCCAGAAAATGCGGAAAAAATAAGTATATGTGCAGGAAAAATTCATTTCTTGACTAGGAATCTAACCGCGGGAGATACGCTGTCGTGGTGGTTGACCGCAGATGGTGATCTTGGATTTGGCGTTTACATGACCTGTGACGAAAATGAAGAAGACATCAACAAGTTCGTTTTTATCATTGTAATATTTTAAAAGTGCAGTCACAGACGGTCACTGTAATTTCCGACTAATCAAGTTTAATAGCTAAAAACAATTGCTAGGTTATTACACAGTTCTTTTTTTCCAAAATTTCACCTACATTTAGAATAATTTTTAGTTTATTTTTGATTGCAGACGTCATAGTGAATTGCCTTTTTTTTTTGAGCTAACAAAAATACTTCATCGCTATTTACGGTCAAGATAACTGTGTCAGACTGAAACAGTAGTATCATTTTAACACCAAAATCTGCTCCTCCAGAGTTGAGCTGAACTGAATGACTTCATAATGACTTAGAAATCAACTTGAAATTCGAATGAATAAGTACAGTTTCGCTGTTTTCGCTGTCTACTCACAGAAACATTTTTTAGGATGGAGATAGTGTATCCATGCCTCGGATTCTTGCCAGGACCTCTAGTTGTACCGTTGCAAGATACTATAAACATTGAGAAACCCGGTTACTACAAAGTGTATTTTTCAAATGCTCGAGCTTGGTGGCATACTTTAATAATTACTTGTAAGTTGACAACAAATCCGTCGGAGAAATTGCTTGTAAAATAAATAATAAGTTGTCCCAAGTAATAAATACATTAGCACAAGAATTTGTACACTTAATCATTTTATCTGCTTTTATTTACCTCTGCCACCGTACCACCCACATCCCATTAAATTCAGAGCGCTTAATATAAAACATGGGCTTCAAAAAGTAGCAGTAAGCGTGCCACCCTTATTCCTGGCCTTCAGATACAGGACGATCTTTGTTCAGACCCTATAAACAAATAATAGTGGAACAGTTCCGCCAAACATCAGTCTCTAATGACTTCTCCTCATTCGCTATTGATCAGGCCACACATCTTTTATTATTATAAAGCCACGATCCAGCGACTGAAATATATATCACTCTGCTAAATATACTAACACGGATCTGGAGGCACAAAATCGACTTCGCCACCATCACTGTCGACAGTGCAAACGGAAGAGACAGAAAAACAGAAGAAATGTACTTGAACAAATACAAAAATAATTTACTACATATAGCGCGGAAATTTTTTTCCCCACGCAACAAATCAATTAATTTCAGTTGAAATGTCGAGTAACCACAAAATTTGCCACCAGTTTTAAATTCAAATTTTAGCAGTATGGCCCCAAATAGAAGAACGAGCAAACGTCCTGCTTCTTTACCTAACTATTCACATTATAGTTAATAACTAAAGGATGAAGTGAGCAAACGGAACAATTTTTTTAGAGAGAATGTTCAAATAGAAAGAGAAATAGTGGAGGTCAGATGAAAAAATAACACCAAAATTATAACAGAATACATCGTATAATGACAAAATAATTAGTTGAACAGAAATAATGAGCGCACACAAGCACACATACAGACACGCATATAAATACATTCGGGCATTTCAAGTCTCTTCCGAAAATACACAATAACAAAAATTCTTTAAAAAAACTTAACTCATTTTCATTCAAAAAGATACACCGGCATAACAGAATCAACCAGAGAAGTAAGCACAATCACCCTCAGTTATGTTTCGATGTTGAATTTACTTAAAAGACAACTAAGATGTCAAACGTAGATTTTTTTGCACCTGTTGTGGTACCGAGTGTGCTTCCTGCAAGCTGAACGATGCATCTGAAGGTAGCAACATAGCATCCAATTCGTTGGTAAGGTTTTCCAGCATGAAACCAATATCAGATAATACGTCTTCATTCCCTACCAAAGGCAACCTAAATTTTTTATTCTTTCAAATTAGCTTTATTAATATTAAATTGAAAAAAAATATTCCTGACAGAATAAGGTCAAAAAAGTTTAATTTTACAAGTGCCTAAGTAACATGCAAAAAAAAGCACAAAAATCTAGCAGATTTAGTGACAAAGTCACCACTCAGCAAGGACGCACTGTTGGTGAGTAAGATAGAAAAATGCTATACCTTTTTGAAGTGTCGGCCTCTTTCGCAAATACATTGCTCAGAGTAGACTTCGACATTTTCTGCTGAAAGGATGAAGTACCCGGTACGTATCTAGAAGCCTCACGATTGCGAATTGTTCCGCAGTTGTCATTAGCAAAGGGAATCTGTTCAACATTGGCTTGACTATACGGATCAGAATGCTTCTTCAATCGCATTAATTCTGTTGAGTTATTGTATGCAGATCTCAACAACCGTATCGATCCTTCACATGCAAGTGGGGCTAAAACAAATAGAGTCAACTTTCATTCTTCTGCCTTAATTACCGGTCTACAAAACAGCACTTAAACTTCCTCTAAGATATCGCTAAAAATAACTTACCAGGAGGAGGAGGGCATGCACTTGAATCATCGCACGCATTTTCTTGACTATCTGGGTAGGCGTTAGCGTTTAACGAGCATTTATCATGATCAGAGTCTGCGAAAGTTGCTTCCGAAAGAATTTTCGATGGAGAGTGCAAATTTAATCTTGGCATGGTACCCATGTACGACAACGTATCAGCATCCTCAGAAAATTTCGTTTTGAAACAACCATCACAGCTATCAAAAGCCTGAGATGGTAACGATGATCGATGACTTGGGTAAACCTAAAATTGGAGAGCTTACAAGAAAGCCAATTTGTCATCAGTAGCTATAAGAACTGACTTAAAAGTTGTAAAAGCCGTGTCAGAAGTGAATGGTTTACTAACTTGGACAACTGGTTTCATTTCTCTCATATCTATTTCAGACTGTTGTTCATATTGAGAATTTTTGCACCATGTTGCAGAATAAGGTGTTTTCTGAACATTTTTAAAGCTAAGACCTGACTTTGGGGCTGGAGGAGGAGGCGCCTGCTGATGATAATTGGCACCCTAAAAGCGAATGCCATTGTTATGTAAAAGAAAATAAGCTGTTATCTCCTACAAATTGCAGAAAACTTTATTAAGCTGAAATACCTGATTGTAACAAGAATGGCAGGAATCAAATGATAGAGGCTTTCTCTCGGTGTCTACAACGCTACATCTACTCAGTCTATGATTCTAAAAGTAAGTTTATGCAACTACTTCCGCTTAGAAGACAATTAAAAATTATAAATAACTGAATGTCCCAAATAACTAAATGACTAGATGCCCAGAAAAATTTTTCTCCTTTTGTTGTTTAATAACAAACAGAAAAAATTTTGCGCATTAAAGTTGACCTATTTTATTTAAAATGTACAAAAAAAATTTTTTCAAATTCTCCAGCATTAAAACAAAGAAACTTCTTAGCTTCCTTATAGTGACAACCATACCTTCATTTTTTTAATCGCAAGTTCCAATCTTTTCAAGTGACCCAGCTTCTTGATACCAATTTCCAAGAAATCTTCCCAAGTTAATTTTTGTACCTCATTTAGCGAATTGTAACCTTGTGACTCAAATAAACCAGCATACTCTGACAACCCAATAAGCATCAACCACTCTCTGTAAATTACTCCCGCGTTGTTCATTCTAGTCAAAATGTACACTAAGAGAATCAGGCATATACTTACGCTACATTCCCAGATGGAACAACCGATGGCCAAGAATCGTTTAAGCCCCACTGCCTTATTTCAGAATGAAGTAACTGTCTCTGAGCTGGTTCTTTTACACCAAGTGCTGTTAAATCCTCAGGTGTTATACGAGCGATTGTTGGCAAATCGTAACCCTGCGTAAGGAAAAGCGAAGTAAATCCGGGAAAGCCAAGGCCATCGAGCCATAGAGCTAAAATCTCGGCTTCCTAAAACAAATAACCAAACGTTAAATGAAGTTTGAAAGAAGGACAGTCCGCTGATGACATCCAAACGATGCAACAAGCAGATGTTATATTGATTTCAAATTTGACCACTGTCAACTGGTCAAACCTCTAAACCATTATCATAAACTTAGATGTAAGTCCAATTTTTATTTGAAAAGAACTGAAAACTGACTATAAATACAAGAATTTTTATATTGATAAGACGATCAAATAACCGAGAAAAGAAGCTAACCGGAACTCCCTGAGAAAACATTTGAGGCACATTTACTGGAGCCTCTTCGGTTCCAGAGCACCCATTTAACGATGTTGATGGAGTATCCTCGTATCCGTCGGTTGCGCCACTAGTCAACGATGTACTCCCTCCACTACTGCTGCTGTGAAGTGACGACCGAGACTGAGGACTATCTCGTCTGCACAAAGTCCCGCTTGTCATGCCTGAGTATTAATTTAGTAGTAAAGATCAGCATCAGCTTATTACATAATGTTTTTAACTTATATAATTAATAGATAGTTAAAACGTTGAAGTCAACTATCTCAAAATCACTAGCAGCAACAAAAAGGACTTCAAATGACATTGTAGAGTCAATCATGAAAGCACCGCTGCTCACTTAACATACCTCTGCCCAATAGAACCAGTAAACTAGATTTCTATGTGCATATCTCACAAATGTATAAGCAGAGAAATGAAAAATTAGTATCTGCGAATCAAAAAAGTGCAACCTGCTCAAGCCACCTCTCTTACTGAATAAAATTATGAGAAAAAATGGTTAAAAAATGTGAGGAGGCATTGACAACGGCACAAATGCGGTGCCGTTAATAGCTAGCAGAAGCCGTTTACATACGATTGACAGCTTTAATTTGCAGAATGCAATTTGATATCAGCAAAAATGATCGCTAGAAAAAAGAAAAGCTTCAGTTTTTGCAAATAAAGCTTGCTTGTTTATTGCTACCATAAAGAAGTGTGTTGATGAACAACCGCAGCTTCACAAAACAAAAAAAAACCACCGCAAGTAAGAACTATTATTTTCTTACTATTATTTTAATGTTATACATGAAAACAACACAATCAATTAACATATCGGTCAATCAAAAAGTTAAAATCAAATGAAATTTTCTTCTATTGAGTGCCGCAAACAATCTCTGGTGAAAGCAGAATAACTTGAAAAAAAAAAAAAAAGAGAATTACCATGAACAGGAGAACTGAACGACGAGGTTAAATGCGACGAGCTGCTATTGCTACAGTGTGTAATCCCACTCGCCGAACAGCTAGGAGAAGAAATACTCTAAAAAATCAAAGTAAGTTGACAGTGCTCTCCTTGATGGTTTCTTTTCGATTTAATAACTTCAGAGTTCAATTTTTCTTTTTTGATGAGTGACAGCAAACAAAGATACATCAGTGTGATTTGATACTAAAGGCCGCTCAAGCAAACTTTATCTTCTCAAATCCTATTGCAATTCTATAGCTGCCCTTCAGCCCCTTTCTACAACCCATTTTGCCTCAACCCAATACTGCGCTTAACCACCGAAACTTTCAGTGTTCCAAGGTTCTTTTCAATAGAAAAAAGTAGACGAAAAACTTTTTAAATAAGTGCAAGTATATATTACCAGTAGAAAAAAAAAAAGAAAAAATTTACGATTATTCTTATAAATGACAAGATGACAAAGCATTTTTATTTGTCAAAATTAAAATTTTCTACTGACCCCAAAAAGCAGTAAAAAAATGTAAAGTACGCAATAATATATGTTCCAGAAATTTTCGAAACGAATATATCTATCTGCTAAACAAGGAATGGGTCTCTACCTTCTCTTCATTTTTTGATGTTATTTTAGAGAAAAAAAAAAGAAAAATGATATCATTTTCAAATAATATATGAGATTAATTGTAAATCAGAGTGTGAAAAAAACGAAAAGTAACACAACAAAAGATAAAAAACAAATATTCTCATAGTTTTCAACAATTTTCTTTGGACAATGACCAACCGTACCAACCTTAAAGAGATCAAACAAGAACTGTCTTTAACAGACGCAAAAGAATAACATCAATAAATAAATAACAAATTGCTCATTATTTTTTGCAAAGTATACTAATTTTTCACACACCACTAACATGGAAGGGTAGTGCTCAACCAGTAAAACCAACCTTCATACTTTCAAAACCCGATGAACTCCCACGGCTTGAACAAGATCCATTTGAATTGCGATGTGAATAAGGGTCCTCTTTATTCTGATCCGTTTTTGTGCTTAACAGTGACGGCCTTATAATATTTGGTATAAACGATACGCTCGGTAATGTTGAGCAATCATCCATACCTAAAAAAAATTGACGTTTTTTAAATGCCTTCATCATATACCATTCTAGATATCATCATTCACAGAAAGGCAATAAACAGCAAAAATACCCCGCTCTCCGCTTCCCCCCACCCCTCCCAAAAGAAAATATACAGTTGCAGTCACTAAAGAGACACCGGAACCGAGCAGCTGAAGCAAGTAGTGAAAGTAAACACAATTCAAACTGCCTGTGCAGTAAGAGCTTTTGTCAGAAAACAAAAAA